ATTTTGGTTCCGTCTGATTTGTAGTAAACAAACTTTATTTTTCTTTCCAAAACTTCTGCTCAGCAGGGGGCCTGCTTCCCTTCCTCTCTCTCTCTGCCTGCCTCTCTGCCTACTCATGATCTCTGTCAAATAAATGAAATATTTTTAAAAAAGTGATTATAAAAAAAAGATTATGCATTATTCTTTTCCCTTTACTGTTGCAACTAGTTGGTTATTCAAAATAAGCAAACTTACAGACATATCTTGCAATGTAAGAACATACAACAGAAGCTAAGTGTGTCTATGTAATTCAAGAAAACTATAAAAAGTATATAAACTATATAAAACTATCAAAATTGAACCTATATTTTGATTGGCTCAGAGTATCCCAGGGAAATGGACTCTGAAAAATCAACACTGAGAAACATAATGGAGTCCTTAAAATTTCAGAAATAAAGGAAAGTACTCTGGGTGGCCAGGCAAAAAGATTTAAGTCACAATGGGAAAAAATTGGACTGGTTTCATACTTTTGTACATTCAATGCCAGAAGATAGTACAACCATGTCTTAGTTTTACTAAGATGCTTAAGGAAACAAAGCTGGACCCAATGATTTTTATATCCATCCAAACTGTTCAAGTATAAAGGTTACAAACATTCTATAACTAGGGAACTATTTATTTATGAACCATTTCTGAGAAAACTCCTGTAAGACTGACTTGAGCCTACCCAGAGATGACTGGGGCAACTATAACAAAGCAGGACTGTTGATGAACATTAAGAAGAAAAACTACAGATCAGGATAACAAGATATACCATAAATGTTACATGTCCCAACAAGTGTCCTCTGACAAAAATTAGGAGGGGAAAAAAAGACAAAAAAGGACAGGTAGAATAAATGCACTGGTTGCCTCACCTATGTCACTCTACTCAACAAAAGAAAAGTAAATTAGAAAGTATTCTGAACAGAAGAAAAACACAATAGATCAGGATTGGTGAAATGCTACTAAAGCAGTACATAAGGGGAAATTTATAGCACTAAATGCACACATGAGATAAAATCTTCAATGTAAGAACATACAACACAAACTATATTGATATGTCATTCAAGAAAACTCATGAAAAGGGGCGCCTGGGTGGCTCAGTGGGTTAAGCCGCTGCCTTCGGCTGAGGTCATGATCTCAGGGTCCTGGGATCGAGTCCCGCATCGGGCTCTCTGCTCAGCAGGGAGCCTGCTTCCCTCTCTCTCTCTCTCTGCCTGCCTCTCTGTCTACTTGTGATCTCTCTCTGTCAAATCAATAAACAAAATCTTTAAAAGAAAAAAAACTCATGAAAAAACAAAAAACAAAAAATTCACATCAATGACCTCTAAACTTCCACCATAAGAAACTAAAAAATAAAACTCAAAACATATAAAGGGAAAAAATAAAGGTCAAAGTGGAAATCAGTCAAATAAAAGTCAGAGAAACAATACAGAAAAATCAGTAAAATTTAGAGATAATCAATTAAATTGACACAATTCTAACCAAACAGTTAAAAAAAAAAATCTAAGTTACTGATACCAGGAATGAGAGAAGTTGACATTACAACAGATTCTAAGACATCAAAATAATAAGGGAATATTATAAACAATTTTATGCCTATTAAATGTGACAAATGAAATGGACCCATTCCTTAAAAAACATAAATGATTAAGTTTGCTCAAGAATAAAGTGGGGGGGGGGCGCACCTGGGTGGCTCAGTGGGTTAAAGCCTCTGCCTTCAGCTTGGGTCATGATCCCAGGGTCCTGAGATCGAGCCCCACATTGGGCTCTCTGCTCCGCGGGGAGCCTGCTTCCCCCCACCCCGCCTGCCTCTCTGCCTACTTGTGATCTCTCTGTCAAATAAATGAATAGATTCTTTATAAAAAAAAAAAAAAAAAAAAAAGAATGAAATGAGGGTCGGGGCTCCTGGGTAGTTCAGTCGTTAAGCGTCTGCCTCCAGCTCATGATCCCAGGGTGCTGGGATAGAACCCCAGATTGGGCTCCCTGCTCGAGGGGAGGCCTGCTTTTCCCTCACCCATTCCCCCTGCTTGTGTTCCCCTCTCTCGCTGTATCTCTCTCTGTCAAATAAATAAATAAAATCTTTAAAAAAAAGAAAGAAAGAAAGAAATTAAAGAAAAAGAATAAAGTGAGGGGCACCTGGGTGGCACAGTTGGTTAAGCCTGACTCTTGGTTTCAGCTCAGGCTGTGATCTAAGGGTTGTGAGGGAGTCTCATGCAAGGCTCCGCGCTAAGTGCAGAGTCTGCTTAAGACTCTCTCTCTCCCTCCCTCTCTCTCTCTGCCCCTCCTCCCTCTCTCTAAAATAAATCTTTAAAAAATAAAAAAGTGACAATCTAAATAGCTCTGTATCTATTAAAGAAATTGAAAATTTTTTAAAGATTTATTTATTTATTTTAGAGAGAGAGCGCAGGGGAAGGAGCAGAGAACCCTCAAGCAGACTCCGCACCAACACAGGGTTCGATCCCAGGACCATGAGAGATCATGACTAGCTGCAAAATCCAGTCCGCCGCCCAACAAGCGCCCCAAAATTGAAAATGTTTTTTTAAAAGCGTACCTATAAAGAAAAACCCTGGCCCCACTGACTTCACTAATAAATCTTACCACATATTAAAGGAAGAAATAATGCCAATTTTATACAAATTGTTTCCCCAAACTGAAGAGCACGAATCACGTTCCTACTTACTATATGTGACCAGCATTACCCAGAAACTGAAACTAGACAAAGAACAGGTTTTATAACATTATATGTCACTATATGGTACATCCAAAGCAGTTAAGTAAATCTAATTTTTAAAACTTCTACCAGAATGTATCTTTTTCATTATGTCTTCTTGAACATCAATCACATTTTCTGGGTTTTTGTCAAGTTCAGGGAAAGACTGTAGAATTATATTTTATTTTGTTTCTTCATTATATTTCCTCTACTCTCGTTCTAGAACTTCTAGTCATTTCTCTCATGACTCCTCATCACTTACTTTGTATCCTTCTTTCTTTTTGTTCTAGATTCTAATGGACTTCTTACACTTACCCTACACATTTCTATTTTGGTCTTTGGATGTGTTCATTCTATTACACAGTTTTTCCCATTAAATTAAACTTTATATGGCAAAGGTATTTCTAAGGAATGTATTATTTCTTTTCTTTTGCACCAGTCTGATCATGTTTTATAAATGCAATAAGTATCTTTTCTATGCTCTTTTTCTTCTAGGTTCACTTTTCTTTGTTCATCCTGGCCATTTCAATAGATTTTAAGATAGAAAAGCAAGGGGGCGCCTGGGTGGCTCAGTCCTTAAGTGTCTGCCTTCTGCTCAGGTCATGATCCCAGGGTCCTGGGATTGAGCCCCATATCAGGCTCCCTACTCAGCAGGAAGCCTGCTTCTCCCTCTGCCACTCCCCCTGCCTGTGTTCCCTCTCTCGCTCCGTCAAATAAATAAATAAAATCTTAAAAAAAAAAAAAGATAGAAAAGCAAGAAATAATTGTGTGCAGTCTTTACTGATCCAGAAATCAGATTTTTTTTATTTATATAGGAAATCTGGTAAAATTCTTAAGAATATAGTGGAATAATTCACTGTAAGTTGTACACCATCTTGCCTTTCAGAAATACATCTAATGCAGGTAACTAGATAACTAGAATACTTAGTCTGTTGCTACTACAAACAGTAATGTGATATAAAGAACACGGGGCCAAGAATCAGGAAGATATAGGTTTTAATGGATAGCTATTATATCCTAAAGAAGTCTCAGATTAGTTGTCCTGCCACCTAGAACAGTTTATTGTAACATATTAAAAAACTCCTTAATAATTGCTTCTGTTTCAAGTAATGATAGACTAGCTAATTCAGATAAACCCTCCCACCAAAAAAAGTTAAATATACTTCCAAAACAAAAATCAGAGAACTAACAAGATAATGACTAATTACCAGGCCAGATACCGGCTGGAAACCCAAGAAATAAGCAAATAATGGAGAAAATTTTGTCCTAAGAGTGCTTCTCTAACTGGAAGACAGAGCTGATAAGGCATGTTTTTCTGCCTAGAGTCAGAATCTACAACCAGCCAAGGGTGGGAAATCTAGAAATCAGTACCAACTGGGATACTACAGGGTTCTCTCCCCAGCACTAAGGGTAAACCAGAGGTAAAATAGTCCTCCAATCAGTCTACAGATTACCTGGGAATGACCTGGGGGACCAGAAAAATTTCAAACCTTAGGATACAGATGGATTCAAGTGGTCACTTAGGTACCTGACAGAAACAAACAAAAATCCTTCTGGAGAAAGATATCACCGTTATAGGCCTCCTATGATATAATAACAGAACCTCATAAATGTTCATTACTGCAATTACAAAAATTAAGTCCAGGTGTAATTTTCCTAAGTAAACATTACAGTATCCTATAACACAACAGTAACTAAAAAGGTGTCCAAACTTTTAAAAATGTGCTTTACTGTTTGTATAAATTTATGGACATTTAGAAAAATAAAACTGTGTAAATACAGAACATTTCATAGCAAGGACACTTCAACTTTTTGAGTCTGGCTAAGTCTTTGAAAAACATTTTGAAGGCATCTCTTCTCTTAGCCCCTTCAACAGTAGAAATGAACAAGCTTTAAGTTACAATGTCCATGTTTTAAAGACTAAACAGCAGTGGTTTTATTTTTTCAGTATGTTTGCTTTAGCAAAGAAGAGACCACACCCTATATAATAGCATGCAACATTCTGAAATAAGCAAAAACAAAAATGCACCCATTCTGCAATTTAAACAGTTATAATAAAATATATACTCAATATTCAATATTCCAAATTCTATCTTCTTTATAATCTGATCAAATTCATTTCCTAAAACCTACTTAGAAATGGAAATAAAAAGTCTTGCTATTTTGACAATAGTGAATTTTAATCTTTTAACTTTTATTATAGAAATGCACCAAAAATAGTCTTTCTAATGTTCAGGTAGCTATAAATGATTATCAATATAATCCATACCTATAGTATCTGGGAGGTCTAGCAGTTCATTGTGCTGCAAGTCAAGGTTGGTTATCTGTGTGCAGTTTCCAATCTCCTTTGGGAGGTGTTCAAGTTGATTGTGAGCTACATCCAGCGTAATGAGGTTACATAATTCACCTGTAAAATTGGCCAACATAAAAATTTAACAAGAATTATTAAAGAATAGATTAAGTAATACTGAAGGAAAGAAAAAAAAACTCTTCATTTTCTATATCATAATTATACCTTTCTGGAAAATGTAAAAATCAAACACAAGCTCTGAAACTTATTAGAAAAGGACATCTTAAAATATTGAATCATTATGTTGTATGCCTAGAACTAATGTAATCTGTCAATTATACCTCAATAAAAAAAGAAGAAAATGACATCTGATAAAGTTAAAAATATAAATGACTGCCAACTAATATTACACATGTAGTTTTAAATAACCAATTCAACCACATTTATGTTTGTATATTCCATACTTTAAGTAGAGCTCACTAATTTTTTTTTAACCAAATTCAACACAGTAATATATTAGATTCATCTTGAATTCAATTTGATGGTCACCTTCTACCTATAAATATATATATAAAATCTTAAATAGGCATATGTTCTGTTATATAAATATACAAAGTGACATTATAAGTCAAAAACTGCTTCTAGATTTTAATAGTACTCCACAAGGATAGAAAATAAGGTATATTTCTCCACATTCTAGTTGAAAGGGCTGTACTGGCAATTTAGATTATTCTTAGTGTTATTCTGCAACATTCTTTCTTGCAGAATTCTTTATTTGAACGTACTGTTCAAAAACTTTATAATTTGTAACAGCTACATTGGTTCTCTCATGACTTCCCTTTTTTTTCCAAAGGCATTAGTTATAAATACTAAAAAAGTAATAAGATAAGAAAATAAAGCGCATGAAACTGAAAACACAATGCGTCTAGGGCACATTATTAAGCCGTATTACTATAAACACAGGTAACAAAAAGAAAACAGGTAAATTGAATTTCATCAAAATTAAAAACATACGTGCATCAAAGGACACTATCAAAAGAATGAAAAGGCAACCCACAGAAGGGAGAAAATATTTGCAAATCCTGTATCTACTAAAGGATTAATATCCAAAATAAAAGATCTCTTACAATTCAGCAAGTCCCCAATTTATAAATGGTTAAAGAACTTCAATAGACATTTCTCCAAAAAATATACAAATGGCCAATAAATACAGGAAAAGATGCTCGACATCACTAATCATCAGAATAATCAAATCAAAACCACAATGAGACACCACTTCACACCCACTAGAATGGCTATAATCAGAAAAACAGAAAATAACAAATGTTGGCAAGGAGGTGGAGAAATTGGACCCTTGTGCTTTACCACCCAGGTTTTCAGGGTGAAGACAGAAGAAAAATCCTTTCCTGTTTTTCCCTAGGCATTGCATATTCCAACTGCAGAAAATCAAAGGCAAAGACAAAATTTTGGAAGAAGTTAGAGGATAAAAGCACCTTACTTTAGGAGAAACAAGGATAAAAACCATATATTCAGACTTCTCTTCAGAAAAGCATGTAAGCAAACAGAGAATGCAATGAAATATTTAAAGTCTTGAAAGGAAAAAAAAAAAACAAACCCAACCAACCTAAAGTCTGTATCCAATGAAATTATCCTTCCAAGTAAAAGAAAAGTAGACTTTCTCAGACAAACAAAAATTGAGGGAGTTTGTCACCAGCAGACCTTATAAGAATACTAAAAGAAGTTCTTCAAAAAGAAGGAAAATGATATAGGTTAGAAACTTGGATCTATATAAAAGAAGAGCATTGGAGAAGTAATAAAGGTAAAATATTTTCTCACTTTTTTTTTTTTTAAGGCTTATTTTTGCTAGAGAGAGAGCAGAGAGTGAGCATACTTGGGGGAGGAAGGAGCAGAGGAAGCAGCAGACTCTCCTTTGAGCAGGAAGCCCAAGGTGGGACTTGATCCCAGGACCCCAGCTGGGATTACGACCTGAGCTAAAGGCAGATGCTTAACAGACTGAGCTACACAGGTGCCCCAAATATTTTCTTACTTTTAATTGATCTAACAGATATTGGTTTGTTCAAAGTATTAGTAGCAACAATATATTAGATGATTACAGATTAAGGATAAATGAAATGAATGACAGCAATGTTATAAGGGACAAGAGGGAGGAATTGGGAATATTCTGTTTTAAGGTAACCACATTACCCCTATGAAGTGGTACAGCATTATGTGAAAGCAGACTTATAATCAGCTATAAATGAATACTGTAAATACCAGGATGACCACATACATACAAATAAAATTAAAAGAAGTATAAGCAATATGTTAAGAGAGAAAATGAATAAAATGTTCAATTAAAACCAGGTAAGGCGGGGGCGCCTGGGTGGCTCAGTGGTTAAAGTCTCTGCCTTCGGCTCAGGCATGATCTCAGGGTCCTGGGATCGAGCCCGCCTCATGGAGCCCCGTGTCATCCGGCTTCCTGCTCAGCAGTGAGCCTGTTCCTCCCCCTTCTCCGCCTGCTGCTCTGCCTACTTGTGATCTTTGTCTGTCAAATAAATAAATAAAATCTTCAGGAAAAAAAAAATAAATAAAACCAGATAAGGCAAAACAATGATGAACGACAAAAAGAAGTTCAGCTAATAATAATAGTTATAAATATAACTGATATTTATCCAACTCATCAGTAAACACTGTAAATGTAAATAATCTAAATCCAAATAAAAAACAAGAGACTGTCAGAGAGGATAAAAGAAAAAAGACTCAACTGCATGTTGTTTTCAAAAAACTCACTTTAAATTACATAATGGTAAATGGAACAATTCTCCAAAGCATAACAATCATTAAAGTTTGTATACCTATTTATCTCTGTATCTAGTACAGTGCTTAGTACATAGTATCATGTTAACTTAAAGAATAAAAGAAGATAACTGGGGAAGATAAAATTTGGATTCTAATACTCTTAAAGCCAGAGGTGATAAAATACTTTTTTAAAATTTGCCATCATCTTTTCTAATAAATAATATTTGAAATTTAGTACCTATGAAAATAACTTCTACTATTCTAAAGAAGATACACAAGCCCAAAAGTGTACAGAGTTGAGGCAAGTAAATAAAACAAACTGGAAGAAGACTATGACTAACTTTACCCATTTGGAACAGCTAGGATTCAACTCAGATCCATTACCACTATATTGCAGGACTTTCAACTTCAGTACCATGACATTTTGAACTGGGTAATTCTTTGCTATATGAGGCTGTCTGAGGCGTAAGCAGCACCCCCAGCCTTTACTCATTAGATGCCAATAGCACCTCCCAAATAATAACAATCAAAACTGTCTCTAGACATTAACAAATGTCCTCTGTCACAACACTGCAAAAATTGCTCTCAGCTGAGAATCACTGCTACATTGGAATAAGAAAGTTCAATACCGTCCAATCCTCACATTTTTCAAATGAAGCTGGAAATCTAGATCTTCAAATAAAATCTTCAAATGCTAAAATGCTAACAACTAATTCTTAGGTTAGAACAAAACACTGTGTTACTGAACATGTTTGTGGGCTTTTTTTCAGTATTCAGGATGCCAGTTTGACATCTCTGAACACAAAAACAAATTAGTTACTAACATTTTAGGACAGAAATTTGCATATGACTACCTAATATTAAAACTAAGAAGTGTTTTAAAAAAGCAAAATATAATCATCGAGACTCAATTAAGTTAAACTTTTTTGATTTGTGTAAGTCACCACCTGGCAACTGGATTATTTTAAACATATATTCTCTCCAGAAAGTTATCCTCCAGCAATGCAACTCTCTGCAAAGTCAGGATATCATGGGAATAGTGACACATTAGGAATAGCATCACCTAATAACACTAATACTTCTTTCTCACAATTTAGTAATCCCTAAATATTCTGAAAGTGCTTAAAACTCAGGAAATGTGATTTAATTTTTTTTAACAGCACAGAAAAAAATAACATGATTTTAAAATCTGGTCTGTTAGTCCCTGAAATACAGTACACTCAAAATGAAATTACCTATATTATTGGGAGTAAAATCTGAAAGTTATTTTAGGCTTTCCCTAACATCTACATATAAATTTTAGGAACCACGAGAACATTTTCAGAATAGATTTTGTTCAGTCCAAAGAAAAAGTCTAAGAAACTTCAGGGAAGTTTCTAATTTATATATAGTTCCCATAAAAATCTAAAATATTTTCAAAACTAATCCAAAACTTTGTATTTAATGCAATTAACAAAACATTTTTAATGTTGGTGGAGGGATGTGTTCAAGATCTCTTTTCTTTGGAGTTAACACTCGTAACTGCCCAAGCTCCTCTTGTCCATAGTCAAATAATTAGAAACATTTGAAAATTGTGAATATATGACAAATTCTGTATTAGACATTGTGTCAAGATAAGAGCCTACATTATAATTTGTAAGTAATTCAAATATTAAATATATAAGCAGTTCATGAAATACTTATACACAACTTGTTATTTCTATACTCTGTCCAGCTACATAATACTTTTAAACATGTTTCACCACATAGGATTCAAATATGATAAAAACAAAACAAAACAATATGTAAATCCATCCCAAATGGTTCTCAAAGATAATAACTAAGTTTAAAAGTGACTTGCCTCTGAATGGGTTTAAGAGTGGTTTTTATTTCCTACTTTATACATTTGTATTTTGTGATTGTTCTTCATTTTGTACATTTTTTATTCAAAGAGAAAAAAGGGAGATTCAAAGAGGTAAACACTAGCAGTCTCTCCTACACTATTCACAGAAGAGCATTTTCTGACCCATAACAGAAGTTCCCCATCTATGGAGCAGATATATCTTTTAGTGAAAACGAATGCATCATGCTATCATACTGTTAACATCAGCCATTAATATTACGCATCTTATGACTCATATTCCACACTCATTAAGCAATCTTTTGATTTTAAATTTGACTTCCCACACATTTGCCTACAGAGAGAACATGGACTTCATTCATTTATCCACTCTACAAATGCTTATGAAACACTTACTAGACATATCCCAGAGGATGATAGAGTAAGAGAAGAAAAAAAAAAAAGATAAAATGCCTGCCTCCATAGAACTTATATTTTA